CTGAAATATTTTAAAGTATAACTAAGTTAACTGATATAATTCAAGTTATAAAGTCAACTAAATGAATATTTTTGATTGACAAATTAAAAAAATATCCATTCCTCATTCTTTCTAAAATACAAATCCTATACAATGAATTCAAAAATAAACTAAAAAAAAAATGCACTTTGTTGGCAAGGGAGAACCATACTAATATTTTTTTATATTCAGCAGGGCTCGAATTAAATGATTGCAAATTACAATGGAAATGCTTCCTTTTTTTAAAGGGACTACCAAGTCCCGAGACATTTTGTGTTCATATTAAAGAGAATGTTAAAAAAAAACGTCTGAGCAAATTTTTTTTGATTAAAACTAATTAATAAATGAATTCCAAGAAAAACAAATCTTGTTGTTTTAGTTGAAGCTCGTCTTCTCTGTTTTCTCTGGTATTTTGAATATGTAAAATAAACGCGATTTTCCAGGCGCATTATACAGACTTGATAATTTATTCAAGCACATTTAATTCAAAGGAGTTTTAGAGCATGACATCATTAGAAACATTCTAAAAATTCTTTTAAATTAAATTTTACTCTAATAGCTAACTATAGTTACTTATTTTATTAAAAGTTTATTTTATTAATTGTTCGTTAGTTTTTTACAAATCTAACAAAAAATCAATTAACTAAGAAAAGATATAAAAATTAAAAATATACTAATAAAATATATAATTTGGAATTAACTTTCAAAATTTTGACAATTTAAAAAATATATATTATAAAACATTTATTTTTGTAAACAAATGATAATAGTTTAAAAGTTTTACGGCTTTACAGATGTGGCTCCGAAAATGAGCCATAATATTAAAGTAATAGTTCATTTGATAATATATTCTCAATACCAAAAAATACATTTTTGAAAGTCAGAGAAAAAATGCGTTAATTTTTTTTTAAATATTTACAAAGTAAATTAATAAAAATGCATTATTATTTAGGTTAAAAATTATTTTATCTAATATTTTGAAAGAAAAACTTATAACAAAAGAAATCAAAATACACATGGTCTAGACGATTATTTAAAAAAAGTTGCGCAAATAAAATACTATTTTGTTTTTTATTTTATTTTTGCTTTTAATTTAATTTTGTTTTTAATTTTATTTTGTTTTTAATTTTGTTTTACAAACACATTTTAGAACATTTTAGAAATATAATAAAAATGAATATGCTTTGGAAATTGTATGTAAAAAATAACAATCGGTGTTTTGAACAAACAAAAAAAAAATCTATGACGTCATGCACTAAAACTCCTATGAATTAAACGCGCTTGAATAAATTATCAAGTCTGTATAATGCGCCTGGAAAATCGCGTTTATTTTACATACTCAAAATACCAGAGAAAACAGAGAAGACGAGCTTCAACTAAAACAACAAGATTTGTTTTTCTTGGTATACATTTATTAATTAGTTTTAATCAAAAAAAATTTGCTCAGACATTTTTTTTTAACATTCTCTTTAATATTAACACAACATGTCTCGGGACTTGGTAGTCCCTTTAAATAGTTTTTTAAAAACTGTAAACTCTGCTTTGATCACTAAACTAAATTGCTGTTAATTATCAATAAAAAAAACATTTATATTGATCTTGAATACAAAACCTTATTATAAAATTATACTATTATTATTTTTATTATTATTAAAAATTATGATGTAAACTTTAATATTTTAATTCATTTTATAAATTATCAGATAAAACTTGAAAAATAAAGCAGGATGAAGCTTGATTATTAAAAAACAACCACTAATCACAACAGTCTAAAGAAATGATCAAATATTTTAAACAAACAAAATTATGAAATAAGATATAAAATATTATACTTAAATCTTATTCAATATTTTCTTATAAATTCAATACTTGTAACTCCGTTGCAGATATGTATAAAATATTAAAGACAGAGTAGTTTAAGAATATATAAAAACTAATTTAAACATTTTAGTTATTTTAAAGCAAAACAAAAAAATTATTAGAATTTCTTTGTTTTTTTATTAAATACATCTATTTTATTTTAAAATATCTATTTTTATTATCAATCAATTAATTTAAAACATTTAAATTTTTAAATAAATAATTCCTTAAACTTTTCCTCTAAACAAAAATCGATAATAATGTTTCATACAATGCACAAATAGCTTTAGCATAATTTTTCATTGGTTGATTATTAAATTGGTAATTATTATTTTTTTCATAAAACATTTTTTATTTATATTACCTTATGTTTAAAAAAACAATAATTAAAAATTTGTAAGTTTTGATTTATTTATTGGATTGTTTTTTCATTATTTTTTGCAATACAATAAACTGATTATTTCATCAAAACAGTTTTCATGGTTTTTAATAAACTAAGAATTTAATGACTAAAAATATTTTCAGATATTGCAATTCTTGATCAGTTAATTAGAGGCTTGTTGGCATCTACTCATTTTAAAAGTTGTTTGGCTTATGAGAAAAAAGAAATGTTGCTGAAGTCAGTGGTTATATCTCAAATAAAAGATGAACTATATTATCACAGGTTTCTGATTTTTTAGCATCTTCACTTCCAACTAGGCTGTATAAAACCACTATTAGAGTTAGAAGTTACTGGAAAAGAAAAGATGAAATTTATAGAGCAAGATAATAAATAACGGACAACTTATAACATTGCAAATTATATAAATCAAGAAAACAAGATGATAAAACCGAACTCAAAGTACTGATGATCAAGAAAAAAACTAGACGAATAAGAATTTTTGGAGCACTTAGGAACAGTCACAGTATTAAGTATGATACTTAATTGAATGAAGAGTAACACAAAACAAATTTTTGTCTATGGCACAAGAGACTTAAGCTCTTTATAGCAGTGTCCATTATAGTATTTATAAAGAAAAAGAGAAGCAACATTCTGCCATGCTAAGCAAAAAAGCAGTATCTCCATCTAAGCAAAATGTCGGGAAATCGACTAAACAAATTTAGACACATTACTGATCAGTGTATAAAGCATAATTAACATACAATCCTAAAATAAACGTTTATATACTAATTTTATATCATAGAATTGATTTTATGAGTTTTTAAATATTTTCGTTTATTCCTTGACCTTTGACATTGAAGATACTGCTTTTTCGCTTAGCACGGCAGCATTACAATGATGTGATTTGGTTGGAGGTTGGTTGCAATTCCAGGTCTAACTATATTTGCAATGCATTTTTCCACCTAGCCTAAAAGAAAAAGGGCATGATTTGAAGATCGGCTCAAATATGGCAACAGTGTTCCATACAAAGTTGGATTTAAGATTTATACAGAAAAAAAATAGAATTTTGAGTAAAAAAGTGGCAACCATGATAAAGAGATGCTAGAAGATGAAGGGTTGATGACTCATTGAGCACATTACGGTTCATAAAGATAGGAAGATCTAGATTATTGTGATAACTATTAGCTGAAAAAATTGGAGTTTTATCTGAGTTAAAGTTCACCAGCCACTGGGAACCTTATGCTGTAGCAGAAGTGAGATCCTTTAAGCTTAAATGCCCCCTTCAAGAAATGAGAGTGTTGGCTTCTTATCAAGACAAGAACAAATGGTATTATTATTAATGAATAATGCCAATATAGATGTGAGAACTTCAGGGAGACTGTTAATATAAATTTAGGTATAAAAGTATAAGACCAAAGATGGAACCTTGAAGAACCCTATGAATTTACTGGAAATGAAAAAGAGTGCTTTCCATTAAGGACAACATTTATATTACTTTTTTTTTATAATTTATAATTGGATAAGAAACAATTTAATCATCTTAGAATTGTTACCTGATACGCTATAAGAAAAGAGCTTAAAGAGAAGACCAGCATGATAAACTTTAACAAAAGCTTTCTCCACGTCTATCTAATGCACAATAAAACCTATTAGGAACTACTGTTAACAAATCAGCAGTAGAATAAGAAGATTAAAATACATAATGATGATCAGAAAATAAGTTATTAGATTGAAGATGAGAGATTATGTGTTTGTTAAAGATTCAAAAAACCTTTCCTATGATAGGAAGAAGATTAATAGAATGGTAGTTAAAGTGTCAGATTGTAAAAGTTTTAGAAAATAGGGATAAGAAGCACTTAAGGGTGAATGCAGAGTAACTGAGAACTGACTAGGATCAGAAACAAGACATAAAAGAAGTCGAGTAGTGAAGTTAAATGATTAGGATTGTGTGGAAAGCAAGTTGGAAAGTTGACTATTTGTGTTAGAGATTGAGAAAGGCAAAAGTTATAAGCCTGAAGTCCTGCAGAGTTACTGACACTGGAGCCAAGCCATTCAGTGTGATAAGCATTAAATTCATCAACAACATTGATATTGGCAGAAGAATAAAGAGAAACGACTTGCTCAACTTGATCAGAAATAACATTGAAAAGAGCGCAGTGTTGAGGCAAAGGATAGCGATATAGAACAAAGAGATAATAGAGTGAAGTGGTGCTAAACAAGAGCACATAAAAGAATAGTCTATGGATTCAAAACTAGTTTCTTGGAAAATAGGTGAATTCTTACAAATGTAGATGCCCAGGCCAAGCATGTGACTATTGGAGTGTTTACAAATTAAAGAAAGATAACACTATGATCCCATTAACACTAAGATCAAAAGATAAGACAGCTGAACTCAAATTAGTTTTACAAAGAGAAAGTAGGTCTGGTGAACTTTGCAAGAGATAAAGCTCAACAGAAGAAAAGTTACTTCGAAGACCGCGAATATTACTGAATAATAGATTTAGAGAATTTGGAGATGACAATGGTATTTTGCTTTATAGTTTTTGGTCATTTTTAAATTTGTTAAAGAACTTGACTGGAAGCACAGATAGTACTCAGTATACTATATAATAGTCTAAGCAATTGTCTCATTACTGTAAATAAACCATAGGCTGTAACGAAGGGCTACAAATGTGGACTCAACAATCCATGTGAAAAGTACAAACAGAGACACCATCCATGCACAATATGGCATTTTTAG